TCGACACCCCTCAATCGCAAATGTTTCTTCTTTTATTCCTTTCCCATTATCCTTCCATTGCTACTCTATTGTTTGTTAGTTCTTCAATCATGCTCAAGCATTGTTCCTGCATCGTCATTTTCGTTTCACTGCAACATCATCGTGACCTACTCCGCCGTTCCTTTCTAGTGACACCCTTCAAATTTCAATTTCAACTCAACCATCGACTTCGACATCTGCAACATCAGGTAAGTAATGGTTTTCTTGTAATTTATTTTTCTGAAATCAGTTCACAAACAAATTATATATGGAATTAGTTGACAAATGAATTGTATATGAAATCAGATTGTATCTACATGAAATTTTTAATTGTTTTGTGTATGAAGCCATATGCCCACCAAGTGTTCGATCAATTTCCTGAGTGAATCTTGATTAATACTTTAGCAATAAATATGTATTGGGTTTAACTGTTGTTGCTGGAATATACACTAAACATAAGAATGGATTTGTTATGCATACAAACACAAATAGACAAACATGTAATATGAATGGATTTGTGAAAATCAAGCCTCACAAGAAGGGATTTTGCATTGCAGGACATAAGAATGGATTGCTTATGAACTCAGAATGAAAGTGTTAATGCTGATAAGGTGCAAAAACCTGTTGATAAGGTGAAATCATGCCTCACAAGAATGGATCACTCCTTTTTTCATTTGTTAACTTGATACATTTGTATGAGTAGACAGTGGAAGATCTCAAAACATAACTTTTGTAAGATGTGTAGTGGATAATTTATTGTTAGAATTGTCATGATCTTTGAAACTTTTATATTGTTTTCTTTCTTTTGTTTCTACAAAAAGAGGAATCATTTGTTTCAAGAATGTATATGAAAATGTGATGCATTAAGGATCAAAGAGGTTATTTTGTAATCATATCCCCATTTTATGGATAAACTTGGATCCAGATGTAATACTTGTTTATTTAGATGTGATGTACTAACGATGAAAGGGGTTTTTTTGAAATCATAGTTTGATGTTATAATGTTATATTAATTAATTTTTTTAATAATTTTTTTAATTGATATAATGTTATATTTATAAATATTATATCAAATATTATATTCTTAGGATTAATATTATATTTATTAATTTTTTAATAATTAATGGTCCCCGATTAATCTCCGCCCAATTGATTAATCCCTAGACGCCGGTCCTCCGTCTAGCTAACGTCTAGCGTTTTCTGCAACCTTGATATATATATATATATATATATATATATATATATATATATATATATATATATATATATATATATATATATATAATATATATAAAAGACAACAACAACCAAAGAAGATTTATGTTTTGGTATTCAATAATTTTTACGCACTAATTAACATATGCCCCATTTTTGTTTAAGATGTGCTTTTGGTTTTAATAGCATTCAAAGTTTTAATAGTAAAACCAGGTTTCGCAAAAGAATACACAATTTTATAGATGATATTCTTATCGACTAATAATACTCATGAAACTTACTTTCAGGGATCGTGGGAGCTGCACGAACAGTATTGCTTTTAAACGTTTTAGATCTAATAATTATTAAAAAAATTCTACAATGCTTATAATTTATCAAATTTTTATATGATGTATCATTGATCATATGATAGGTATTTGTTCATTAGTTGGATCAATAAGAAGAGATATTATGTAAAGTTCTTCTGGAATCAAATTTTATGTGTCTTCCCTAACAAATACTCAGTTTGATAGTTTTAGGTTCTGAATAATGCATTTGTGTTTTCCACTTATTATCTTAACAGTACAAGAAATAGAGCCTTTAGCGGCGACATCAATAGCGGCGACAGAGAGCTTTAGCGGCGATAAATTAAATAGTCGCTGGTAAAGGCCTATGTCGCCGCTATTGGTGTCGCCACTAAAGGCTAATGACACTGATCCGCTCTTTGACGTTCTGGTAAACACGAATCGTCCGATCGTGGTTCTAATCCAACGGCTAGGGGTGCTCGTGGAACGCATAAAGGAAATATCAGCGACTTTTGTCGCCGCTGAAGACCTAAAAAAGTCGCCGCTAAAGATAAAAAATGACGCGACAATAATTCCCTCCCGAGAGTCGCCGTTATTGATAGTTGTCGCCGCTAAAGCCCAAATTGTCGCCGGTAAAGGCCGACGCAGTTAACCCCAAAAAACTCGATCTTTTTCCTTTTGCACTTCTGTTTCACTCCTTCACCTGTTTCTCTTCTCTCGTCTGCATCTTATTCCGCCGATTATTGTGGGATACCAGTGACATTTATCAATTTTGGGTGTGTCAAATTGTCCAGAAAGAAGATACCACCAGTGGAGAAAGATTTTTCGGTGAGGACCAAGCTTTTTCCGGTGACTCCAAGCTTTTTCCGACGACACCAAGCCATTTCCAGGTCAATTTCCGGTCCCTTTGTAACATCGATTTTAAGATTATTTGAGTGGTTAATTGCAAAAAATTGTCAATTTCAGTTTTGTTGATTGTGTTGCTACGTTCCGGACCACCACCCGCGACTACCGCCACCACTAGACAATTTTCATTGATTTCCACCACCACAGGTTCTATTTTACTACCGAGGCGGAACAACAATATGTAAGTATTTAATTATAATTTTATCATATAATTAAGTGTTTATTTATACTTAATTGTTACTCACTTTTGGGAATTACAGAATCGGTTAGTGGAAGAGCTCTTAGAACAAACCCAATGTGAAAGTGAGTTAACACCCGCTCAAGAAAGGGTTTCTTTTGAGAAAGTATTAGGAGAGCGACATGGCCATATCAGAGGCATCGGCCGTAAACCTTCTGCTCTCCCGCCGATTTCACAACCATTGCAACCATCACCACAACCATCACAACCATCACAGGTAAAACAATCTACTTTGGTTCTTTATGGTGATTATTTGCTAAAAGCATTAGTAATTGGGTTTTTGTCCCAAGTGCAAGAAATAGCAATGTACTTTGGTTTTTTTTTTTGTCTTTGTTTAAAAATAGTAATCTACTTTCGCATCATAAAATGCATGTTGATTTTGTAATTTTGGTTTTGTGGTGATTATTTGCTAAAAGCATTGGTAATTGGTTTTGTCCCAAGTGCAAGAAATAGCAATGTACTTTGGTTTTTTGTCTTTGTTTAAAAATAACAATCTACTTTGGCATCATAAAATACATGTTGATTTGATAATTTTGGTTTTATGGTGATTATTTGATAAAAACTTTGGTAATTGGGTTTTTGTCCCAAGTGCAAGAAATAGCAATGTACTTTGGCTTTTTGTCTTAATTTAAAAATAGCAATGTCCTTTGATAGTTTTTGTTTATGTTTGATAATTTAACTTATAAGTTTATATATGTTGTTATTTATTATGTAGTTGGAAAATCTTCGTGCAATACTCAACGACCCGGCATGTAGGGATGAGCTTTATTTATTTTTTCAATCACAAAGTATTCGAGGAAACGATGAGAACGAAGATGATGGTATGTAGGGAGGAGTTTTATTTGCATATTACATTTGTTGTCACGCTTTGCTACTTGTTAGATTGTAAAACTTTTGGTTGTTTTCTGTAATTAACGGCGACATTATTACCGGCGACACTATTACTTTTGATATTTAATCGGATGTTGTTATGTAATTATCGGCGACACTATTGCTTTTGATATTTAATCGGATGTTTGTTTTGTAATTACCGGCGACACTATTATTTTTGATATTTAATTGACTGTTGTTATGTAATTACCGGCGACATTATTACCGGCAACCAAAATCATATCGTTGATTAAAAAAAATTGAAAAATTAAAATTGTTATTACCGGCGACACTATTACCGGCGACTACATCATTACCGGCGAGTATATCATTAGCGGCGACGGAACTCTTTAGCGGTGACAGTTCTCTTTAGCGGCGATAAGTTGATCAATAGCGATATAGCAGTAGCGGCGACTTATTACTGGCGACGTGTCGCCGCTATTACCATTACCGGCGACTTTGAGACTCTTTAGCGGCGACTTTTGTCGCCGCAAATTGCCTTTTTCCTTCTAGTGTAATTGTAAGACAAGTTAAGTTTAAATTTATGTAATGCTTTTGGGTTTTCCATTTATTATCTTAGTTATTTTTTATTAAACGAATTTATAAAAAATGAGCCTAATTTTCCAATAGAAATGTTATTTGGTATAAAAACTGCCCTAAAAACAAAAAAAAAAAATGTTTATATTTTAGCAATTGTTTCGTTGGCATGCAGGAAAAAATGCCACAAAAATCTAAATTCCAGTAGTGGCATAAATGTCACTACAAACCAAAAGGGATGCAACAACACATCAAAAAGTGTCATTAACAGTCTTTAGTTAGAGCTTTTTTAGTTACATTTTTTTTTGTCGGTGAGTGCCGAAGAGGCCTTTAGTGTCACTTTTTAAGGTTTTAGTGTCATTATTTCTATTCATTTAATTTGTATTTATCAAAAATTAAAGAAAGGAGCGCGTCGTTAAGGGAAATAGAAAGACTAGTAATGATTTTGCTGCAAATTATACCTAAGATGTTTAACCGGTTGAAAAATAGAGCTACAAGAGTGTGTTATATTGATTGGGATAGATGGCGTAATAGCCCAAGGTTAAAATGTATTAATGTGTTGTAATTTCTAGCTTCTCGTTACTTTTTTCAATAAAAATTTATACAATTAAAAAAAAAATCTAGCATGCATAATGCATAAAGAAAAAGAAGCAATTTTGACCTACAATATATATAACTTATGCACGCGCTTTGATTAAATTTATAAAATATAATGTGAAAGGTATAGTGAAGAAGCAGCACTTTTTCGAAAGGTTTGGGCAAATAAGTTCTGCCTTGGAACATACCCAAGAATATTAGCACGTTACTCTACCTAAAAGCATAACTCCGAAAGAATACATTTCTATTTCAAGGTTAACCTTTTCTTCATCTACAAACATTCCCTTATACAATTCCCATGTGATCATAATATAAATTAGTCTATTTTTTTTATGGTAACATTCAACTAATCTGTCGCCATGGTATTCCCAAGTTTTGCGGTTTTTTCTCTCATTTACTTACCCTTATTCATCCTTGTATCCTCTCAAACCCTATCCCATGAAGAACAAACCATGGAGAATCCATTGATTCTTCAAGCATGTAGCAATATAAAAGATGAAAGAACATGTCTAACCAATGTGAAATCGTTTCTTAATGAAAATCGTCCAAAAAACCACAAGCCTGACTCCATCCTAACAGCCGCCCTAAAGGCGACAATGAAAGAGACGCACATTGCCATGCAGAGCTTCACCAAGTTCACGTCGTTATCATCAAGTTCACGCGAGCAAATGGCGATTGAGGACTGCAAGGAACTACTTGACTTCTCGGTTTCTGAACTTGCATGGTCGTTAACCGAGATGAAGGAGATCCAAGCTGGGTCCCAGAACCCTCATTCCCAAGGGAACCTAAAATCATGGCTAAGTGCAGCGTTAAGCAATCAAGATACTTGCCTTGAAGGATTTGAAGGCACAGATAGGCACCTTGAGAGCTTTATAAGAGGAAGCTTAACACAAGTCACGCAACTCATTAGTAATGTATTAGCTTTATACACTCAGCTACATACCCTACCTTTCAAACCACCTAGAAATTATGATGATACAACCAATACCTTCTTTCCAAAATGGATAACTGAGGGCGACAAGAATCTGATGCTTGGAAGTCCACACGGGATGCATGTAGATGTCGTCGTTGCATTGGATGGTTCTGGACGATATCGTTCAATCTCTGAAGCAATCAATGATGCTCCCAACTATAGTAACAGGAGATATGTTATATACGCAAAGAGAGGAATTTATAAGGAGAATATTGACATGAAGAAGAAGAAAACCAATATAATGCTGATAGGGGACGGCATTGGTGCGACCGTGGTAACTGGAGATCGGAATTTCATGCAAGGATGGACTACGTTTCGAACGGCCACGGTTGGTAAGAAACTCTATGACCCAAATTTTCTTTTTAGTTCCTCATTGTAGATCCAGCACGTATATCAATTTTATGCCACCATTTTGACATATTCAAATATCTAAAAGTGTATAAATTTATAATTACATTTTCATACCCACACCTAGAAATATAGATGAATAGGTTAAGGTTCCACGACTTAAAAACTATGACAAATTGCTTAATCGGTGTGGACATATTTCAATTCCTTTACGTAAGTTTTTTTGTTTTATGTTTTTTTTAATATATATATATATATATATATATATATATATATATATATATATATATAATTTAATAGTTGCATGGTTATTATGAACTTTCTTTTCAAATAAGGATATATCATTTTCTGGACCCCTGATAGTGATAATGCATGCAGCTACCATATATGTAGGGCTCACCTACTGACCTTACTGCATGTATGTTAAGGATTAATCTATTTTAATTTAAACAAAAACACACACCTCATGAAAACTTTCTTTTATAATCTCTAACTACATTAATTACTTCTTTCTTTGTTATGTTTTTAAGCGGTCTCTGGTAGGGGGTTTATAGCAAGGGACATCACATTTCGCAACACAGCGGGCCCTCAAAACCACCAGGGTGTTGCGTTGCGCGTGGATTCCGACCAATCTGCTTTCTATCGGTGCAGCATGGAAGGCTACCAGGACACCCTCTACGCTCATTCTCTGCGTCAATTCTACCGTGAATGCACCATCTCCGGCACCATAGACTTCATCTTTGGAAACGGCGCAGCAGTCCTCCAAAACTGCAAAATTTTCACGAGGGAGCCTCTACCACTGCAAAAGGTGACCATCACAGCTCAAGGCCGTAAGAACCCTAATCAGAATACAGGGTTTTCAATCCAAGATAGTTATGTTTATGCCACAAAACCTACTTATTTGGGAAGGCCATGGAAAGAATACTCTAGAACCGTGTTCATGAACACCTACATGACTTCAATGGTCCAGCCACGAGGGTGGCTTGAATGGTATGGAAACTTTGCGTTGAGCACATTATGGTACGGCGAGTACAAGAATTATGGTCCTGGGGCATCAATGTCAGGACGTGTTCGGTGGCCTGGCTACCACATGGCTATGGATGCATCAACGGCTAATTATTTCACTGTGCGGCGTTTTATTGACGGGTTATCCTGGTTACCGGGGACTGGAGTAACATTCTCAGCAGGATTATCTAATTAGTTTATCATCACAAGGTGTTAGATCTTGGTCCGCTTCCCATGCCATTGTTATAACATTATTTAACTTGTGGTTTTGTTCAAATTCAATTCGATTTACTCATATTTAATAGATACTGAAATTCAATGCATGTGTATTATGTGTGTATCAAAACACAAACATCCATGAATCTTACCTGTTATACAAATATGGTTGATATGACATCGCCTAATCTTCTTACTATAGAAACACCTTTTATTTGAATGGAGAAAAAAAAAACATGGGAGAAATGATAGAATTACCCTACAAAGTTTCTAGGATTGTTCGATTCAGTCTTTAATGTTATTTCGTTGCTTCATAGAAGAACAAAGTCGTGAGCAACCTGTCTTTTTAGTCACCTTCACCTATTATAGCAGGTTTCAACACCATTTTGCCTTTTAAATAATATTTTTCTTTTTCTTTTATTTAATAAATTCATATTATCATAATTAAAAGAATGGGCCAATCTACACCGGTCCCGACGATGTTCACGATGTTATACGTCGGATGAATCAAGTTCTTGTCCTCGTCAAATTTCACCTCGTCGGTCAAACCCACGAAGGTTATGGTCATAATCGTTTTGAGAAGCTTCTCTTGAAGATCTGAAGCTCAGGTAACCAGAGCTCACTTCCATTAGTGTCTCGAAGCTTAGAATCGTATGAGAATGTGATATTGTTTCTGGATTTCAAGAATTTGTGAAGAGCATGTGTCTCTTTCTTTTTGATGTTCTTCTATTTCTTTCCGAAAGATTTCTTTATATTGGAACTAGACATATGTTGGTGAAAGGACATGACCCCTTGTATGAGATTCATCGTGTCAGAATCCGACAACTCCGACGAGTCCAAAACCGTCGGAATGTTGGGATAAATGATATTGTGTCAATTGTATTGTACTAGAATAGTCCATAATATAACGGGTTGGGCCTGTCCACCCTAGTTTTAATGATATTAGGGTTAGACTATTTATAGTGCATGCATGCACCGTTTTAGGGTTAACAATTCGTATTGTCATACGTTGTAACACCCATAAAATCATGCCAAATTTGAACTTTTTTAAAAACATTTCAAAACCATTAAATCATTACAAACTTGTTTTCAAAATGTATAATATTAGAGTTTTCCCAGAAACATAAACAAAACATGAGGAGCTATACGATCACACATTTGCCTTGCCGCGATCCCCTGATGTACCTGAAACAATAAACTGAAACTGTAAGCTCGAAGGCTTAGTGAGTTACCCCCAAAATACCAACCTCATATAACCGTAATCATATCGTATCAACAAATACAGATAAACATGCATAACGAGCCTTCTGGCTGACTGGACCGCCTCGCAGGGCCTACAGTCTATGTGGACCGCTCCCGAGCCTTCGACCTGACTGGACCGCCTCGCAGGGCCTACAACCTATCCAGACTGCTCACTGGGTATGTTGGCCTACAACACAAAGCAGGACCGCCTCAACCCAACTCCCAATCGACAGACATGTGCACATAAATATCATGCGCTAGCTCATATCATATAACAGTCAAACCGATCTAGCAGATCACTAATCATAGCAACATCCCAATAATGGGGGTACAGACCTAGCCGATCACTAGCATAGCATCATCCTATAATCAGGACACTGACCTAACCAAGTCACTAAGCATAAGCATATCACCATCCTAACTACCAGGATGTATACTATAACATATCATGCCATAATCCGGATATGAATCCATAAAGGGCCGGCCTTGGTGCCTTAGACCCTATTGATATAGTGAGGATAACTCACCTCGCAACTATCGACTCGAAGGATAAGCTCAACTCTCGAATCACCGCCTCAAACTCCACCACCTATATTCGCCACACAACCATGTTCATAAATTCCCAAAATGCTCCAGAAGTCCAAAAGTAAACCCTTGGTCAAAGTCAAAGTCAACTATCAAAATCAACAGTCCTTGTTGACCTAAACTCGTCGAGTACAACCAGCCACTCGCCGAGTTACTTGCATAATTCGTCAACTCGCCGAGTCACTTGAGTGACTCGTCGAGTTCCTAATGTTGGTGGCCGTGAACTCCTTGGCCAACTTGTCGAGTTACCCTTGCAACTCGCCAAGTTCACGCGTGTCGAAAGGTTGGGAAAACCCTAGCTGACTCGCCGAGTCTACGACAATCTTCATCGGACTTGCCGAGTGGACCATGCAACTCGCCGAGTCCCTTCAGTCCTTCATCCAAACAGATGCTTTTTAAGCCATGCTAAGGTTCCATATTGCAGATCCAAATCCCCAAGGCATGTTTATCATGTAAAGTTGCAAACTTTACGTGTATGCAAGGCTCTAGAGGATCTAAATGACAAATCCAAGCTTGCAATGGAGTTTTACACCTTAGGAGAGTCACATTCTTGCAAAAGCTGGAAGCTTTATGGACTTAGAGACCCAAGAGAGTTCAGATCTGAAGTTGCAACTTCAAATCTTAGCTCAAACACAAGAAAAACTTCCTAATATGCTAGAAAAGCCCTAAAATACACCCAAAAGAGATCTAGAATGAAATGAGGTTAAGATAATGGCTTAATACCTTCCAAAGGATGCCAACTGAGGTAGATCTTTGATTCCCACACGTTCCTTGCTTCTATTCACTTGTTCTCCAAGCTTCTCTCACCAAAATCCTCTTCCAAAGCTTAAAACACACAAATGGAGCACACTCACACGAATTAGGGTTTATGGAATATCAAGAGCCTGTAAGGGGAGGTTGAGGAGGCCAATGATCCTTTAAATAGGGTGCAAAACCCCGAAAATTAGGGTTTCATCCTCCGGAAATTAGGGTTTCATCCTCCAGATCCTACTCATCGAGTCCCGGAAATTAGGCAACCTACTCGTCGAGTAGACCTTGAAATCAAGAAAATCTTATAAAAAAATCAATACCTGAGAATCAGGGCGTTACCATTTTCCCCGACTCGAACTAGACTTCGTCCTCGAAGTCTGCCGCGGTGAACAACGCCGGATAGTGCTCCCGCATTTCTGCCTCCGGCTCCCACGTCCACTCAGACCCTCTTTGATGCTCCCACTGTACCTTTACCAAAGGTATCTCCTTGTTCCTTAGAACCTTTATTTTCCACTCCAGAATGGCCACGGGCCTCTCAACATAATTCAGGCGCTCATCGACCTGAATGTCATCTAAAGATACCACCGCCTCCTTATCCATAATCCACTTTCGCAATTGTGATACGTGAAAGGTGCTATGGATCCGAATGAGCTCATCCGGAAGCTCTAACATGTATGCCACATTGCCAACCCTGGCACTGATCCTGAACGGCCCAATTTATCGGGGACCCAGTTTCCCATCTTCCTGAAGCGGATCACACCCTTCCAGGTCGAGACCTTCAGGAGTACCATGTCCCTAACCTGGAACTCTAACTCAGATCGGAGCCTGTCTGTGTAACTCTTCTACCGACTCTGAGCGGTCTGCAGACGCTGCCTAATCTGCTGAATCTTCTCGGTAGTCTGCAAGACTACCTCCTTCCTTCCCATCACCCTATGTCGGACTTCACCCCAACAAACCAGGGTGCGACATCTCCTCCCATACAACAACTCGAAAGGTGGGGCGCCAATGCTGGAATGATAGTTGTTGTTGTAGGCGAACTCCTCAAGTGGTAGGTGGGAATCCCAACTCCCACCGAAGTCAATAACACACACCCTTAACATTTTCTCAAGGGTCTGAATGGTCCGCTCGCTCTGACCGTCGGTCTGCGGATGAAATGTCGTGCTAAAGTGCAACCACGTGCCCAGTTCCTCGTGGAACTTCTGCCAGAAACAGGAGGTAAATCTAACATCCCGGTCGGAGACAAAGGAGACCGGAACCCCATGGCGCGCAACGATCTCGCGGACGTAGATGTTGGCCAACTTATCGGCCGAAGAACTCCCCCGTATCGCCAACAAATGGGCACTCTTGGTCAATCGACGTACGATTACCCATATAGCATCAAATCCCTTGCATAATTCGTCAACTCGTAGAGTCACTTAAGTGACTCGTCGAGTTCCTAATGTTGGTGGCCGTGAACTCCTTGGCCAACTCGTCGAGTTACCCTTGCAAATCGCCAAGTTCACGCGTGTCCAGCGGTTGGGGAAACCGTAGCTGACTCGTCGAGTCTACGACAATCTTCATCGGACTTGCCGAGTGGACCATACAACTCGCCGAGTCCCTTCAGTCCTTCATCCAAACAAATGCTTTTTAAGCCATGCTAAGGTTCCATATTGCAGAGCCAAATCCCCAAGGCATGTTTATCACGTAATGTTGCAAACTTTACGTGCATGCAAGGCTCTAGAGGCTCTAGATGACAAATCCAATCTTGCAATGGAGTTTTACACCTTAGGAGAGTCTCATTCTTGCAAAAGCTGGAATCTTTATGGACTTAGAGACCCAAGAAAGTCCAGCTCTGAAGTTGTAACTTTAGATCTTAGCTCAAACACAAGAAAGACTTCCTAATATGCTAGAAAAGCCCTAAAATCCACCCAAAAGAGATCTAGAATGAAATGAGGTTAAGATAACGGCTTAATACCTTCCAAAGGATGCCAACTGAGGTAGATCTCTGATTCCCACACGTTCCTTGCTTCTATTCACTTGTTCTCCAAGCTTCTCTCACCAAAATCCTCTTCCAAAGCTTAAAACACACAAATGGAGCACACTCACACGAATTAGGTTTTATGGAATATCAAGAGGCTGTAAGGGGAGGATGAGGAGGCCAATGATCCTTTACATAGGGTGCAACACCGCGAAAATTAGGGTTTCATCCTCCAGATCCTACTCTTCGAGTCCCTTCTTGGACTCGGCGAGTAGGTCACTTAAACACGTGGACCAACCCGTTGTAATTCGATGAGTCAGGCAACCTACTCGTCGAGTAGACCTTGAAATCAAGAAAATCTTATAACAAAAATCAATACCTGAGAATTGGGGCGTTACCATTTTTCCTCGACTCGAACTAGACTTCGTCCTCGAAGTCTGTCGCGGTGAACAACTCCAGATAGTGCTCCCGCATTTCTTCCTCCGGCTCCCACGTACACTCGGACCGTCTTCGATGCTCCCACTGTACCTTTACCAAAGGTATCTCCTTGTTCCTTAGAACCTTTATTTCCCTCTCCAGAATGGCCACGGGCCTCTC